TTTTCCTTGTAAACCAAGACAGATCTTTGATATGTGAGTGTGAAGGCCAGAGGGGTCAGGGCTGCGTGGTGTTCACCTTGTTTTCTGAGACCGTCTCTCCCTGGCCTGGCCAGCAAACCCCAGGGTTCTCCCTACCTTCACACCTCTCGTCCTGGTATTAGAGGCATGTGCCACCAGGCCTGGCATTTTCCCATGGGTTCTAGGGACCATGCTTGCGTGACAAGCACTTTACCAACAGAGCACTCTCCCCAAACCACAGGACAGGTCCCGTGTGCTGCATCCCACCTACGGTAGAACTTCGTTGCTTTTTTCTTCTTTTACTTTTTTTTTTTTTTTTTCAAAACTTAGTTGACAACTTCCTTCTGGAAAGAAATTCTGATGCCTGATAAAAACACTTCCCCATTTTTCTCCCAACCTTTGAGGGGCCTAAGCTCCGCCTCTTCCTGACTCCATCTCCTGAATGCTTGGATTACAGGCACATGTCACTGTATTCATGAATGCTGAGGCCAGCTGCGTACTACACAGGGCCCCCCGGGGAATGCACACAGCTGAACACACGGCGCTTTCCTGGAAGATGCTTGGTGTCCTTCAAGTATGGCGTCGTGCAGTCAGTCTTAAAATTAAACTAGTCAAAGAATGCAGCACCTTGCAATGATTAAACTTCCAGGACAGTGTAGGGCTACACAGAAGGCTGTTAGACTTTGAGTTTATTTTACTTTTGGACCCTGAGTCAGCCAGGGGATGAAGAAGGTATTTGGTTACACTATAACCAGCATCAAGGAGCCACAGCAATAGAAAGAAATGAGGATGATAAACTGAGGTCAACGACATAGAAACTCCCCAGCACTCCAGATAAACAGGAGGAAGGCAGGAAGAGCAGAAGTCTGGTGTTGGAGAAAGTATTTACGCTGTTGCGTTGTTTCCACCACCTGCACCCCAAACTTCCCACACTGAAAAGGTTTTTGGAGTGTCCCAGTAATGTCTCCAGTAAAATACATATCTCAGGAGCATCTCCTGGGCAAGTATCCATTCACCAAGAGCATCTTATTCTGCACAAAGACATCTTGGCTTGGGGCATGTGATAGCCCTCCACCACCCTTCATGTGTACAGAACGAGTCAGGGCCCATAACCAACGATTATGGGTTTATCCCCCCTCTCCTTTCCTAAATCTCACAAATTCCAGTGTTTGCTTCCCCCTCCACCCCTCCCACTCCCCCACTCCTCTGGCTTTAACACGAAAAGTAGTCCTTCAAAGAAGTATGGTGAAGTACACATTTTTGCTGTTGTTGATTGTTTGTTTGTCTGTTTGTTTAAGACAGGGTTTCTCTATGTATCCCTGGCTGTCCCAGAATTTGTCCATAGATCAGGCTTGCCTTGAACTCACAGAGATCCTAGTCCCAAGCAACCATGTGTTAACATGCCCCATCTTTTGTTATCAAGGTCTCACTAGGGAATCCCAGCTGTCTTGAAATTTTCTACAGAGACCAGGCTGACCTAAAACTTGTAATGAGTCTCTTGTCTTTTGCCTCCCACCTACTGCTCACAGGTGCAAACTCCCACCTACTGCTCACAGGTGCAA